GTCAGCGGTGTCTGAGCAAGTGGCCGACTGGGGACCAGGGAGGGTTTGGGAGGGACCTTGAGGTGCCCCCGCCTCACTCTGGACGGGAGGCCCTCTTAGGTGGCACGAGTGTCCCTCTTTCCCCCTCGCCCTCGTGGGTCCCCTGGACGACCTTGGAGAAGGTCCCGAGGCCGTCCTTCGTCACTGCTGCTCCTTGCCCCCCCACCCTCACCCCGTGCCAAAGCATCACTGAGAACGAAGCAGACAGGAGAGCTTGAGCCCCGGCGAGGTCCTCCCAGGGCCTGCAGGGCGGGGGGAGGCACATCTCTGAAGAGGCCTCTGGCGGACAACCAGGGCCCCTGGGAGACACCGGGGCTTGCACCTGGCAGAGGGCACCAGGGGCCCTTCTGGGAGCACCGGCAGGTGGGCAGCTGGGCAGCTGAGCTTCTGTCTTGCTGAGTGGCCCCTGCAGGCCTTGGAGGTGCATGCTGGAAGACCTGGATGGGGGAGGGGGAAAGGGGGCTGCTCCCATAGCCCCTGCCTGAGGGAGGATGGGAGTGAAGGGGAAGCTGACAGTTGTCTCCTTGGTTCAAGCCAGCCCCTTAGTTCTAGGCCTCGTGTCCTTCTCTGAGGCCTAGTCCTGGTCCTACTTCCCCGCCCCCCCCCTCGCCCCCCGCCTTGGGCTTTGTAGGAATCAGTGAACTAGAGGATGTGAACGACGGTCAGCAAATGAGAGGCACGATGATGAGCTGCTTGTTGGGGGCTTGGATCCCAGGTGGCCTCTCACCAGGAAAGACGCCTCAGGCTCGTTTATGAAGGTGTCGAAGTGCCCGGGAGGCCCGAGGGTTCACACCCCCGCAGCCACACCGGCCGAGGTGCTGGTGAAATGTGGCTGCTCACCAAGCAGCCCAGAGCGGCACGGCGGTGAGCTTGCCTGCTGGTTCCCTGTGTTTCCAAAGGTCGCGGGCACCTTTGCATAGAAGATTCCTGAGACGAAGAGGGTGCCCTCTGCTTCCTTATGCACCAAGCGCTGGGCACACAGTGGGCACGCAGACGGGAGTTGGAGCTGGAAGTAACCCTCCAACTCAAAGGCTCTGGGACAGACTCCCAAGCTACGGCCATAGTCCTTCACGGTGCCGTGCCCTTTGCAATGGGACTTGACAAAGCTCCCAGGAGGCGGAGCTCCATTTCCTACCCTTTGAACCTGGGTGGCCCGTGACCTGGGTTGGCCAACAGAACACAGTGGAGGTGATGCTACCCAAGCTCAAGGCGAGGCTTAGAGACCTTCTCTTCACCCTCGTAGGTTGCTCCCCAAGACACCATGAGGCTTCTGGTGTCAGAGAGGAGGCCTTGGTGGAGAACTGAGGCCCCTGGCTGACAGCCAGCCCAGCCCGACATGGGTGAGGCCGTCTGGTCCTCAGGGCCAAGCTGGCGTCCCAGCTGGCATTGCTGCTGGAGTGAGCCGAGGAACCCGGACAAGCAGTCCCCCACCCCCCCAAAAGCTTGAAGCTTCAGAAGAAACCCTTGTTGTCTGGGTTTGGGGTGGTTTGTGACAGCACAGGCTAAGTGAGGCCAGAGGAGGGAGGGATTTACCAAGACCCCACAGCAAGGCAGAGACCACGCCTGGCTCTGGCCAGGAGTCCCAGCTGCTCCCAGAGCCCTCCCACCAGTGTCTGCGGCGCCTTGGTCAGCCCCACTGGTGTGAAGTGCGAGGGTGTGAGGGTGTCAGTCAGCGGGCCCTCCCCACGCCCCTGAGTTATAAAGGGTTGGCTGACTCCACCCAGGGCTCTCCTGTCCATCATCTCTGGGAGGGAGGGAAGGCTCACCCTGCCCTACAGAGGATGAACTGAGGCCGAACGGAGTGGCAAAGCTCTGACTCAAACCCACTCAGGCCTCTGAGGCCCACTCAGACCCTTTGCATGGCTCCCAGGAAGGGCCAGGGCTCTCCTGTCCATCATCTCTGGGAGGGAGGGAGGGCTCCCCCCGCCCTACAGAGGATGAACTGAGGCCGAACGGATGGACAACTTGCCGACAGCCACACAGCAGGGAAGTAGCAAAGCTCTGACTCGAACCCACTCAGGCCTCTGAGGCCCACTCAGACCCTTCGCATGGCTCCCAGGAAGGAAACAGAACACAGTGGAGGTGATGCTACCCAAGCTCAAGGCGAGGCTTAGAGACCTTCTCTTCACCCTCGTAGGTTGCTCCCCAAGACACCATGAGGCTTCTGGTGTCAGAGAGGAGGCCCCTGGGGAGAACCGAGGCCCCTGGCTGACAGCCAGCCCAGCCCCCACATGGGTGAGGCTGTCTGGTCCTCAGGGCCGAGCTGGCGTCCCAGCTGGCATCGCTGCTGCAGTGAGCTGAGGAACCCGGACAAGCAGCCCCCCCAGCCCCCTGCAAGACACCATGAGGCTTCTGGTGTCAGAGAGGAGGCCTTGGTGGAGAACTGAGGCCCCTGGCTGACAGCCAGCCCAGCCCGACATGGGTGAGGCCGTCTGGTCCTCAGGGCCAAGCTGGCGTCCCAGCTGGCATTGCTGCTGGAGTGAGCCGAGGAACCCGGACAAGCAGTCCCCCACCCCCCCAAAAGCTTGAAGCTTCAGAAGAAACCCTTGTTGTCTGGGTTTGGGGTGGTTTGTGACAGCACAGGCTAAGTGAGGCCAGAGGAGGGAGGGATTTACCAAGACCCCACAGCAAGGCAGAGACCACGCCTGGCTCTGGCCAGGAGTCCCAGCTGCTCCCAGAGCCCTCCCACCAGTGTCTGCGGCGCCTTGGTCAGCCCCACTGGTGTGAAGTGCGAGGGTGTGAGGGTGTCAGTCAGCGGGCCCTCCCCACGCCCCTGAGTTATAAAGGGTTGGCTGACTCCACCCAGGGCTCTCCTGTCCATCATCTCTGGGAGGGAGGGAAGGCTCACCCTGCCCTACAGAGGATGAACTGAGGCCGAACGGAGTGGCAAAGCTCTGACTCAAACCCACTCAGGCCTCTGAGGCCCACTCAGACCCTTTGCATGGCTCCCAGGAAGGGGAATGGCAGGTGATAGAGTCCACAAAGGGGCACAAACACCCACACATCCATATACACACACAACACACAGGCCTGCCACACGCAATACACATGAATGCATAGCACACACACACCACACACATCCATATACACACAGGTACCACACGCATCCATACCACACACACAACACACAGGCCTGCCACACGCAATACACATGCATGCATAGCACATACACACCACACACATCCATATACACACAGGTACCACACGCATCCATACCACACACACAACACACAGGCCTGCCACACGCAATACACATGCATGCATAGCACATACACACCACACACATCCATATACACACAGGTACCACACGCATCCATACCACACACACAACACACAGGCCTGCCACACACAATATACATGCATGCATAGCACACACACATCCATATACACACACAATACACAGGCATGCCACATGCAATACACACATGCATAGCACACACGTGCACAGCACACCCACACACCATGCATATACATATCATACACACATACATACCACACACATACCACACAGCCTGCCACACGCAATACACATGCATGCATAGCACACACGTGCATAGCACACACACACACCATACATATACATATCATTCACACATACATACCACACACATACCACACACAGACACACTCACATTATGTTGGTCTCTCTTCTTCCCAACCCTCCACCTTCAACCAACCTACCCCAATGGACCATATACTTTATTAAAAATATATAGTTACAAACTCCATTGTTGATTTGGGCTGGGTCTGGCGGCCCGGAGAAACCACAGGGAGGGCTGGCCTGTGTCCTTCCCCTTGGGCTCCCACCTCTATACTCAAACCAGCACCATCCAGGGGCCGAGAAGGCTGGCTCTGAGGCTTCAAGGGGGCAGCCAGCTGGGCAGGGACGGGCTAGGCCACACGGGCGGAGGGAGGGTGCACAGAGAGGGTGGCACCTCCGTGTCCTGCAGGTACAAATGGCAGAAGGTGGATCTGGTGCCTCCATCTCTCTCCATTTATAGGTATTTACAAAAGAAAGTCATGAGCAACAGGTCACAGTCATGCAAAAGAAACGCACCCATCCCTCCC